ATCAAACTCACAGCCTCCTGATTGTGTGAGTGAGCACTCCAACTCTAGGCCACCATGCTCCTCATACAATTCCAAATTAAGAGAAGAAAAAAATCTGCTTATAATCTACCAGGTTGCCCATTGCTTTCTCCATTTTTGCGTAAGTTGCTTTTTACAGAATACCTGGACATTGGAGATGGATTCTGAACAAAGACATTTAGAAATAAGTTATCAACAAAGTCCTACGCCATGAGATTTGGGGGCCCTGAAACTTTATTTCTAAAGAAATAAAATCCACACTGGATCCTTTGCTTCATTATGCCTAATGATGTAAATGAAAGGATTTAGAGCTTGGGTGACCACTGCATACAATATGCAGTGAAGCATGAGAAATTGAGAATTGATCTGAAATAAACTAAACAGAGTGACCCATACAAAATGCAGATTACAAGGACCTGTAGAAAAAACCCTAGTAAACAGTCAGATTCCAGAGCTATGTTTCATAATTCAACTATACATTAGCATCTTTGGCAAAACAATACATCAGTCACATCCACCTGACCCATTAGAGCAAGAAGGCAGGGAATGTTGTGGGTCCTACCCCTGAGGGAGATATACCTGGTGGGACCCAGAAGAAGGGTCTTCTCCATGGTGGCTCCTTCTCTCTGGAACATAATTTCCCCAGAGATTAGAATGCCCCCCTTACTAATACTCTTCCAAAAGGCACTGAAGACCTGGTTTTGCCAGCAGGCCTGGGGAACCCAGAGAGGGATGGAGCCCATCAGGTGGCTTGTGTGATCTGCTGTCGTCGGGAGGGGGGTTGGGAGTTGGTTTTTGATTTTTTTTGTTTTGTTTTTTGTTTTCCCAAATTTTGTTCTATTGTACTTTACTAATTTATTTAATTCTTTTTGTTAGTTTTTATTGTTTTTATTTTTTTGTTTTAAATATGGTTTTACATTGTGTAAGCCGCTCCAAGTCACCATGGGCAAATAGGCAGCAATATAAATTAAATAAATAAATCGTTAACATTTTAAGTTTTCCAATCAATCTATCATTATATTTAATAGACTATTGTCAAAAGATATGTAATGTTCACATGACCATACCATGTGGATCACCAAGCCCTCAAAATTCATTTAAAAACATAAATTAAAAATTCAGTTATCATTCTTTCAATACATTTCTTTGGGGACACTGACATACAGTTTTTTTCTGATGAATTGCTAAGAAAGCAATTCCTTACAATGGGAAGTCAACCAATTCCTCAGAAGGACGTTTATTGAAAGGAACACTGGGAGACATGTATTTAATATGAGACATCAATCCACCAATAAGAAGGTCTCCATCCTGGTACATTCCTATGGAATTTGAATGGCTTCATCTCCAGTGCACTTAAGAGGCTGTATCTTCATGGCCAATTCTGGAAAGAGTAAAATGGCAATAATCCCCAACATTCCTGCTGATTTGGCTCCTCCTGTATGCAAACAGGATACTATAGATAGTGAAAGAAATGCTGCCTTTGTTGAGATCTGTTGTAAAAATATGCCATGCCTCCTTCATTGATCTGATCCATTTTCTGATCCATTTTCTTCAGCCTCACTGAATGCTCAAAGTGTAAAGGACAGAATTGATCATTGAGTTTAATACTTAATTATTAGTCTCTTTTTTTCATTTGCAATTTAAAAGACCCCCGGCTATGAAACTTTAGCAGAATTTCAATGGTCTTGTATAATTATTCCAAGATGGTATATTTAACATGTATGGAGTAATGTAGCTAGTTTCACATAGAGAAATCTGGGAAAATCTGTCAGATCTGGAATTGAGTAGGCATTGGCTGATCAACAGTGTAAAAAAAAAATTAGCACAAAACCCACAAGAAATATATATTTATGCTATGTACAGCAAGTGGATATGAAATTCTGTTGACCCAAATTTATGGCAACAGTTCTTATACTGACCCTGTCTTGTCTGGGTAACACTTCAACCAGTTTTGAGGAATGGTTCTCAACAATATCTTGGAGATTTATATATCTATTCTGTGATTTGGCTGTGCTAATTCCTTCAGAAGTATCTTGAGAGTCACTGGAGGATTGACCTGGTGACTTAATCATCATGTCTGTGATAACTGAAGAGATGGTGCTGGAACAAACATGTTTGTAAGCAGAGACTGTTAGGAATATGAGTCACCTAACAGGTATTTGGGTTAGAAATATATAAACCAGGATAGACATTTTAAAACTGTATCTTTAAGAAAATGCAAAATTGTAGTTGGGTGTGGTTTCTCAAACGGCCATGAAATGGAGCCAGAAACCTGTTTGTTTTAGTCTGAGTCTCAGAAGAGAGCGTGAGTGTATCTCTGTTTCTTTCTGTTGGAAAGTATTGCCGTTCCTCCATTTCTTCTAATTGACTGATATTACTGGAATTTGATGTAAGTCTGATACTGAACTATTTTTGACACTGGATTTTGTTATTGGATTATCCCTGGATGAAAACTGACTGATTTTACCTGTGAATGACTTTGGATTGCTTATTTTGGACTTTGCTTAACCTTTATTGAAAGTAAAACCCTACATTTACTGTACAGTGTATCTGTATTCTCTGTGTGTATTATTCAAACACTATTCTCTATACGTCTCCCTGTATGCACTCATTCTCCTAACGGGGAATTACCTCAACAGAGACCTTTTTCTGCTTGTTCTTGGGAATTGAGGAACTGTGCTTGAGGTCTATAATTTGTCTGAGTGGCCTATTGCTCAGAGTTAATGCATGAAATTTATGGCCATATACATTCTCTAAATCAATCAATTAATCAATCAATGCCTCAATGCCTCAATCAATTATCAATAAATCAATCTCCCTCTCACATACAAACACCCAAAGAAGCTAAATTTAGTCTCCTAATCTTTTACATATTGTGGTAATAAAATGGTTGCATTCACTATCAAATGTATGAGTTGCTCCCAGTATATATGAACTGCTGAAATTGCCTTGTAAGAAAACATTCAGAACAAGGTGGACTCCCCCAAAATAGTGACAGAGACAAGATTTCATCAGGAACCCATGGCTCAGAAAACTAAACGGTTTCTATTCCCTGACCATAGGCCCAAAATAATATGACTACTAGTAGGAAGGGATAAATAATATTATGGTCACTCAGAGGGGTTTCTTTAAAATGTCTATGAAGATTCTCAATCATCCAGGTCATCGTTGTCTCAAAGTTGCTTTTTCAAAAGGCAAATGGACTTTTTATTTATTTTTTTGAGATAGAAGAAGATACTTTGCCTCTCATGCAAAAAGCTTCATCAGTTCTGACTGGATGGTGGGGAGAAACAATCCAGTTGCCTTTTCAAAAAGCATCTTTGAAGTTTCTTTAAAATATTCCATTGCCACCTATAATTTTTTCTGTGTAAGACGTGGTTTGCTTTTGCTTATGTGTGCTCAACAAAGTGTCAAAAGTTTTGCTGGGATCCAGAATATACTGTATTATTGCTTGCATGCATTTAAACAAAACAATGTTGTATCTTCAAAGTGATTTTATTTTATTTATTGATTTGTTTGTTAAACATGTATAAGATAAGTATGAACATGAACAAGAACAAAGGAAGTAAATACAGATAAATGGGGACAGTAAGATAGGAATGGTAGGCAGGCTGGTGCACTTATGCATGCCCCCTTTAAGGATCTCTTAGGAATGTGATGAGGTCCATGGTAGACAGTTTGAGGTTGAAGCTGTGAGGGGTTGAGGCTGTAACAATGGAGTCTGGTAGGGCATTCCAGGCGTTGAGCACTCTGTTCTGAAGTCATTGCAGTCATAATTTTCTGCAATCGAGTTTGGAGTGGTTTACCTTGAGTATGTATTGATTGTTTGCCGATGTGTTACTTTGATTGAAGCTGAAGAAGTCATTGATAGGAAAGATGTTATTACAGACAATTTTGTGAACTATGCTTAGATCGGACCGCAGGTGGTGCAGTTCCAGATTTTCCAGGCCCAAAATTATAAGCCTGGAGGCCTAGGGAATTCTATTGTAGTGGAGGAGTGTAGTATTTTTCTCGAGAAATACCTTTGAATCTGCTCAATTGTGTTAATGTCCAATATAGAGTGCGGGTTCCAGGCAGATGAGCTATATTTGAGAATTAGTCTGGCAAAAGTTTTGTATGGCCTAGTTAACAATTCAATGTTGCTGGAGAAGTTTTGTGAAATAAGATTAACAATTCTTAAAGCCTTTTTGGCAATGCTGTTACAGTGAGCTCTGGGGCTTAGGTCATTTGAGATAAGTACTCCTAGGTCCTTGACAGAGTGAGGGTTGTCTATGAGAACGCTTCCCCCTAACTTGTATTTGGTGTTCTGATTTTTTTTTGGCAATGTGTAGGACAGAGCATTTGTTAGTTGAAATTTGGAGTTGCCAAATTCGTAACAATTCTGACACATAGTCAAGGTCACTTTGCAGGGCAGCAGCATTTCTAATCTATCTGAGAAAATTATAAAAAGGCAAAGATTTCCTCTGGATATCCTTGTTTTCACCTAAGCAAAGAAATACTTCTTTATGTATACTTAAAGCTTCATACCATCAAGAATTGTCCTTTAAAATAATTGCTCAGGTGGTATCATGCTTCTCCAGTTTAGCTGGGAATGATGTAAAGTTTCAAAATGACTGTATTATCACCTTCAGTTTACCAAAAGCCAATTTATCAGTGGTTTTAAATGGGTTGGGAAATCAGTCAACAATCTTCAAAGAATCTTGCAGTTTATTCTCTGTGTTTCTTTTAATGTATATCTTGATATTAATCTAGTTGTTATGTTACTCCTAATGAAGACCCAATGGAAAAGCTTAATTAAATGATATGGAAAACTAGTTGCTGAAAAAAAATAAAGCCCTATTCCTCCAAAAATAATTGTTAGATGAAAGACAAATTTAGTCAAATATGTATGTATATGTACACACACACACACACACACACACACACACACACACACACTGCAAGTAATATTTGCTTGTTCAAAATGGAATCTTTTTCCTTTTTTATTTATGTACTAAATGCTCTCTAGTGTTGAGCTCAGGCCTCCATATAATTATATAGATTTTGGGGATGAAGATGCATCCCAGTAAGCCACCACCAGAAGACAAGATAGAGAAGATCTCCACGGCCACCATGTACTTCCCTTTGGTGCTCAAGTAGGTGGGGACAAAGGTCAGCCAAACACTGCAGAAAACCAACATGCTGAAAGTGATGAACTTGGCTTCATTGAAAGTGTCTGGCAACTTCCTGGCTAGGAAAGCCACAATGAAACTGAGAAGGGCCAAGAAGCCCATGTAGCCCAAGACAGAGTAAAACATGGTGAGGGAACCTTCATGACATTCTACTATGATTTCTCCATGGAGTGTCTCTGTGTCCAAATCCGGAAATGGAGGAGAAGTACTCAGCCAAACAATGCAAATAACTACTTGAATGAAGGAGCAGAACCAGATAATAGAATAGGCCAACTTTTGCCCCACCCATTTGTGGAATAGGCTTCCTGGCTTTGAGGCTAGGAATGCTACAACAACCGTGATGGTTTTGGCCAATATAGAAGAGATTGCAATAGAAAAGATGATGCTAAATGTTGTTTGTCGGAGGAGGCAGGTCGCCTTATTGCACTTTCCAATGAACAGAAGTGAGCAGAAGAAACAGAGAAAGAGGGAGACAAGTAGAAGGTAGGTGAGGTTGCGGTTGTTGGCTTTGACAATGGGAGTGTCCCGTTGCTTAATGAAGATTGCAAGCACAAGAACTGTGGATAAGGAAAAGAGAAGAGACAGAGCCACCAGAGTAATGCCCAGTGGCTCTTCAAAGGAGAGGAAATTCAGGGTCTTTGGAATGCACTCATTGTGAGCTTGGTTTGGAAACTGATCCTCTGGACAACTCTCACAATTCTCCGTGTCTGTAAAAAGGAAAAGAATTTCTGAACAGAACCTAATTTTTCCCAGGTTTCAGAATTGCTTTTCTGGATTTCCCTCCAATGTGATTCCTAAAACTTTTTGTAACTCTTCACTACTTTGATTACTTGATCAGAATATACAGTAAAATACAAAGGAAAATAAAATGAAGGAAATGAACAAAATCAACTTTTCATTTTTTTCCATCACAAGTACAAAATCCAGTAATATTTTTGAAATAGACACAAAAGGAAATATGTTATTTTCTTTAAATAAAGCAATCAATTAAACAATTTCTCCTTTTTTCTGTGCTGTGGAAAGTAATGTACATTTTTATTTGCATTTATTAATCTTTATAAGCTATCATCATTTATATTAACACAATTCACTTTATTATTTCTGATTCTTCAAACTTAAAAGGAAATATAAACTTTTTAAAAACATCCATTTTAAAACACCAAACTTTTCTAGTAGGTCTAAAAATTCTAGTGCATTTTTTTTAAAAAACTTCCTCTTAACATGCATATTTTAGATTCACTTTCAATAATATTGTAACTCTCTATTCAACCTGCGTGTAAGAAATGAGTACTGAAGGGGGAAAAAAACTATTTACATTTTCTACATTTCAATCCTCTTGGCAGTGCAGTAGATTTAGTAGCATTTCTGAGGAAGAGAATAGCATTTCACATTTCCTAACTGTCTAATTTTCCCCAGAAAAGAAAAAAAGAGCAGTTTTAGATCCAGTAAACAGGCAAAAGCATTAGAGCAGGGGTGTCAAACTCAAGGCCCGTGGACTTGAGTTGGCTGGCCCATGGGGTACTTAGATCCACCCCATGGGGCCAGCCTGGAAATAGGAAAGGACCAGCCCACAGTGCCTCTGCTTGGAAAAATGTGGCCACGGGGGTGGGGGGGTGGGGGGCTTGGACATCCCCTGCATGGTCTGCTTTTGGCCTTGACAGCCTCCTGCAGCAACCTGCTGGCCAAAACATTATGTCCAGGCCAAAACATTTTTGGCTGTCTAGGCCAAAATTGGGCTACATGGGGCCCTCCTGTGCCCCCCATACCCCATTTTGGCCAGTAGGGTGCTATAAGAGGCTGTCCAGGTTGAAAATGGGGTGCATAGGCCCTGCCAGCATACCCCACACCCAATTTTGACCAGCAAGGTGCTGTAGGAAGGCATCTATACTGCCTTCTCTCTCTGCCACTCCCCAGCCGGCCCATGGAGGACAACTGTAAAGCTTATCTGGTCCTCCAAGTAATCCAGTTTGACATCTCTGCACTAGAGGATAGGAGAATAAAAAGTGTTCTATTTCATGATTGCTTGCTTCATGTGAGGTGCCTCATCATTTCAGTTAGATTCAACCTCAAGGATGGAGACAAGGGTTAGAAGACATTCTCCCCCCCCCCCAACTTGAGATGAACCAATAAAGCAATCAAATAATATTTAAGAGATTCTTGTTAAATGGGATACAGGCTACAGAAATAAACTTTCAGGCATAGGTCCATTGGGATGCTATACATCTTACCTATTTGTCTGGATATCATCTTTTCTGGACACCGAGAACAAGCATAACAGCAAAATTTCTGCCCTTCAATTTTGTGCTTTCTTTTTCCAAGAGGACAAGGGTCATTACATAATGAGAGAGGAGGTAGCTATTGCCAAACAAACAAAGAGTCAATATAAACCTTTTATTTTTGCTTATAGCCAACGAATAAGAAAAGTCTGTTGATAGTCCTGCCATGAAGCAGTCTCAGACAGATCCAGGAATACAGTTGAGTTGTGTTTCATTTCCTATTAATTTAGCCAAAGTTTAATCAATGAAATACAGTGCAGATTTATATCCAGACCATGAATATTTCTGATATACTTCCACATTCAAGGTACTGGTTACTACCAGTGGTGGTATGCTACTGGTTCGAACTGGTTCAACTGAACCGGTAGTAAAAAAAAAAGGCCTCCGATCAGCTGAGAGGAGGAAAACAAGACTCTGAGGATCAGCTGGAAGGATAAAAGACTGAAAAGTGCATGGGAGGGTGGGAAGGTCACTCCTAGCTTTTCATTTCTTCATCCTTTTAGTTGATTGGCTTGTTAGGGATGCATGTGTGCACGCGTGGTCACCCACCAAACCAGTAGCGACTAAGGTAGGATGCCACTATTTATTATTACTTATGAAAGCCTATGTGGTGTAAAAACCTGGTTACATGACTCACTGCCCATCTTCCATAGTATCAGCTCAGCTGGTTCAAGCTGGTAGCGTTGGCACACTTCTGGTTCCATTGATTAAAGTATGCCATTTATTGGGATCATGTCCCCTGTAACAGCTCCTGCATTCTGGAATGAACTTTCTCTCAAATTCAAATTCAAATGCCCTTCACCCATTTAATATTTCAGATTTCTGAAGATATACTGTTCACCCAGGCCTTTGGTAAAGATGATTGATATTCACTTCTTTCTTTTCCCTGTTTCCATTCAGATCATTTCCCCATCCATCTTTGTTCTTTGTGTGTGTTGTATGTCTTTGTATGGCTTTTTTTGGGTTTCAATTCATAAACTGTGCAGAGAGATTAGCAAGTTGAGTAGCATATAAATTTGAATGGGCAAAGAACTGATACAAACTCAAGGTAAAGCACTCCAAACTCGATTGCAGAAAATACGATTTCAGCAACAAAGTGGTCAAAACCTGGAATGCCCTACCCTACTCCATTGTTACAGCCTCAAACCTTCACAGCTTCAATCTCAAACTGTCTACCATGGACCTCACCCCATTCCTAAGAGGTCTTAAAGGGGGCATGCATAATTGCACTAGGGTGCCTACTGACCCTGTCTTACTGTTCCCATTTATCTGTATTTACTCCCTTTGTTCTTGTTTATGTTTATATTTATACTTGTTATCTTGTACATGTTTGACAAATAATAAATAAATAAATAAATAAATAAATAAATAAATAAATAAATAAATAAATAAATACATACATACATACATACATACATACATACATAAACAAACTATTATGGATGGATGCACATTCAATGATTACTTTAGACCAGATTTATCCACCAATTAAGTTCATCTGAAGAATCTGGGTTACAGAGATGTTATAATTTAGTGCTATTAAAAGTGTCAGCACAGTATGTCAATCATTCCAAGTAAAGCTGTATTTTGCAATTGACTCGTGTTAATTGTTGTCAGTTCCAACCAACAACCAGTTGAAAAGGCAGTGCTGCTTGGAACAACTTACATTCTGCAACAACACCATCAAACCACAAGATCTCCCTCTCCCAGGTCCTTGAACAAGACTTGATAGATGAATAATAAGCCCAAACATCTGGCTGATTGTACAAGCAACTACAATTTACTGGCAATGAATGGAAAGAATCCCAAACTTTGAGGGTTTGAATAATCTGAGAGTTTGAGGTTGCTAATTGTTTATTTCACAGGAAAAGAGAAGTCTTTTCCACTGCCAGCATTAAATATATCGTTGAAATTTGACCACATATAATTTCTTTCTTCAGAATGAAAGTTTAGATATCAATACTTCCTTCATTTGGGCAGGCCAAAATCTGGGCATGTTACTGTGGTTGTACCATTTAATGAGAGTAAATTTTTATCCAAAGGTTGAAAATTGTAAAGAATTAGAATGTCATTAAACAATCCAATAATGCATTTGTTTTTTGATACCTTTGACAGAGATTGATTGAAATGTACCCATGTTTTCCTGAAAATAAGACCCTGTCTTATTATTATTTTTTTGCCATCAAAGAAAAGCCCCAGGTCTTATTTTCAGAGGTTGTCATTCACTGACTCACTTCACTTGCATGCATCACCTGCGGCCTCCTTTTTGCTGTCAGAGGCCTTCAGGAATTTCTTCTGAAGCTTGCAAGGCTTTCTTGAAGGCCTCTGCAGCTGATAACAGAACTCCGGATTGATCTGGAGCTCTGTTATCGAGAGCAGAGGCTTTCAGGAAAGGTTTGCTGGCCTTGCTGACTGCAGAAGAAATGGGATAGCAAGGCAGGTGTTTTGGTGTGTGAGGCTTGGCTGAAATTGTCCAAAGATAAGTTGTAGGGCAGCTCCACCTCCATTACCACCCTAGCTTATTTTTTACCTGTGCACCTTGAAGTGGGTAGGTCTTAATTTGGGCTTATTTTGGGGGTAGGACTTACATTGAGTGCATGTGTAAAAATCAAGCTAGGACTTTCAGTAGGTTGTATTTTTGGGGAAATACTGTTCTTTTAGTCCATATTATAGTACCTGAGTGAACTCATGATGCCACTGGATTTTATTTTGATGAATGCAGAAGGTTTTTCCTGGAGGCGCTTGTGGATCTACTTCTCCAACTGGGATGTTGATATAGGAGTTGTTTTGGAAAGTAATCAAATTTACAATGTCAAATCCAGCTTCTAGGGTTCCATCTTCATTTAATTTAATTTCATCTCCAGCATTGTTGTTGAAAGAAATTCTCTGCAGAAATGAGTGGAGCTTGCAGAAGAAACACCATTAACTGTTTAGAGAGAATCCAATATGCTTCCTAATGGCCTCATACAACAGCCTCATTTTAAATATGGAGCCTTTCCTCACCAGGAATAAAAAAAAAAAAAAATGATGGAGGACTGCAGCAGTTTAATTGTTGTTATTGGATCATATTCCACATTGGACATTAAAATATCTTTTGGTATTCAGTGATTTTCTTTTAGACTTAGACTAACTTTATTCTCACTTAGAATGTACATTAATCGGCATACATTAAAATGAAGTTTCATTGCATACAGCTCTCAAAGGGTCATCACCTCCAATATACACTATATAAACATGAAAAAATAAATAAATACAAAATTATGCATATATCCACACATATTATATGACACAGAGACTTGGAGTTATTTTAGAAAGTTGGAAAACAATAAGAAGAAGCAATCAAAATAACGCAGTACTGACTTGAACTAATGCAGTACTGACTTGAACTAATCAAGGAAAGATCCAACATAGGAGAAATTTACAAACAGCTAGAACAATTAATCAGTGGAATGATTTCCCTTCAGATGTTGTGGGTGCTCCAACACTGGCGGTTATTAAGAAGAGATTGGACAATGCAATGTCTTAAATGTTATAGGGCAGGAGTGTCAAATTCAAGGTCCGTGGGCCAGATCTGGCCCATGGGGTGCCTAGATCTAGCCCACAGGGCTGGTCTGGAAATAGCAAAGGATTGGCCTGAAGTAACTCTGCTACCAAAAATGGGGCATGGGCAGGGTGCACCCTTCTGCAACCACTTTTGGCCTCTGGAGTCACCCATGAGGCCTTCCAGGCCCCAAACGAGGGCCTCTGGAGTGCTCCAGAAGGCTGTCCATGATTCAGAAGGATATAAAAGGGAGGAAAGGTAAAATATTTTACCTTTCAGGCTTGCAGTATTCTGCTACTGAAGCCTATGTCAACAATTTTGTAGTTCTAGTCTTCCTATGGAGTCAGTTTCTTGATCGAGTCTCTGTCTCTCATAAGGTGATCAAGTAGAGTAAGTAAGTATTAAAAATAATAATAAAAGAAATGTACACCTCTCTATTTTTATAAGTGTATAAAACCAGTGATTGGATTCAATTTTTTCCCCTATTGGTTCTGTGGGCATGGCTGGTAGGCATGGCATGGCTTTGTAGGTGTGGCTTTGTGAGCATGGAAGGAGAAGGTTATTGCAAAATCCCCATTCCCTCCTCACCCCACTAACCTGCTTTCCAGCTCCATTCTCTTGTGCAGGACAAAAAGAAGACTCAGCTCGGGACTTGGGAGGCAGGGAATAGATGGGAGTGGGGTCACTCAGAGGTGGCATTTGCCAGTTCTCCAAACTACTCAAAATTTCCGCTTCCTATTCTGCAGAACTGGTCAGAACCTGCTGAATACCACCTCTGTATAAAAGCATATATGAGGAGGTGCAGTCCCATATCACACCCACCATGGCCATACCCACCATGGCCACACCCTCACCCAGCCTGCCAAGGTCAAACCCAATCCTGATATGGCCCTCAATGAAATTGAGTTTGACACCCCTGGTATAGGTCTCCTACCTGAGCAGGAGGTTGGAATAAAAGACCTCCAAAGTCCTTCCAGCTCTGATGGTCTGTTATTCTATTATTTATGCAGAGAACTACACAACAAGAAGAAATTTAAAGACCATTGGAGTTGGTGTGGAAAGAGGGAAAAACTGAGATATATAGGCAAAAGACAATACCTTCAGTGAATCAATATTTGTAATATATGAATGTTGAATAAAGGTGAACACCTTGATCTTTAGATAGCTGAACTATAATTATCTGTAGAGTCTTTAAATCCTGGCACACTCTTTTAACTATGGAGAATCTTTTAAAAAAGCACCAAGAAAGAGGAAATCTTACTTGCTGGGCTTCTGCAATTTTTGAAACAGTCTAATTGTTACTACTGAACCATGATCCATGTTAGATACTAAAATCTCTCTTGGTACTCAGTTGATTTTGTTTAGTGACATTGCAATCAGGTAGTTTGAAAAGGGAAAGAAGAAGCAATGGGAAGATAAGCTACTGCAAA